AACAGTATTTTATGTTAAATAACAGCTATTATTAACAGTATTTTATGGTAAATAACAGCTATTATTAACAGTGTTTTATGGTAAATAACAGCTATTATTAACAGTATTTTATGGTAAATAACAGCTATTATTAACAGTATTTTATGTTAAATAACAGCTATTATTAACGGTATTTTATGTTAAATAACAGCTATTATTAACAGTAAGTTATGGTAAATAACAGCTATTATTAACAGTATTTTATGTTAGATAACAGCTATTATTAACAGTATTTTATGTTAGATAACAGCTATTATTAACAGTATTTTATGTTAAATAACAGCTATTATTAACAGTATTTTATGGTAAATAACAGCTATTATTAACAGTATTTTATGGTAAATAACAGCTATTATTAACAGTATTTTATGGTAAATAACAGCTATTATTAACAGTGTTTTAGGATTTCTGACCAACATCCTGAATATTAAACTACTGATAATAATAAAACCACTACAAACAACAACAATAATGATGATTACAGAGTTAAATTAAATGGATTAAAGCTTTTTAAATGCAGCAGCTTCTGACTCTGGAAGCGTTAGTGTCCATATATATATTTTTTATAAATGTGCTCATCTCGTGCACGTTTAAAACAAAAAGGAATTTTTTCTACGGACCAAAACTATTAAATTTAATCTAAAAAACAGCATCTTATCTCGCCTTAAAAAGAAGGAAACTCGCCTTTCTGCTCTTTATCTGTCAGTGGATTTAACCATCTGTCCCATTATGAAGGTTTTTAATTGTGTCTGTCTCTATTTTTCGTTTTCAGATAATAACCAGATAATAACCCAACCTGATCCCTTAAGAAAAAAAAAAAAAAAAAAGTTAACCTGAATGTGACTTTAAAACCAAAGAAAAAAAAAAACTATCGTCATTTTCACCTTTATTTATTTATTTATTTGAAGCGTTTCTTTATTAAACGCGGTTTTCAGTCCAGATGTGGCCCAGATGTGCGCACGCTAAGACACGTGCACGCGCTTTAAGGGACGGAACAAAGGGGGGGGGGGGGGGCGTGGAAAGACGCGCGTGGGCGTCTGCAGGTGGGTAAATGATGCTTTAAAAAAGAATAAAGAATAAAAAAGAATAAAACTCTGAGAAACAGAAGCTGAAAAACCGCTGACCGTTTCCCTTCTGGCTCACCGGCCTTTTTCTGTTTAAAAAAAACATTTTTCTCTTCTCTATCGTTTGAAATATAAATATTACATTAAACAATCTGCTAGTAATAATAGTAAAGTAGGTTAAAAAATCTATATATGTGATTAATTTTCTGATAAGATCCGGATCACGCAGATTGTAAAGAATGAAAGTGATGAGAATCAAAATGATCTGCTAGATTTTAGGTCTTAAAATGTCAAAAGCATTCATAAGATCAATAAATCCAGCTCTAACATTAGAATTATTAACTAATTTACTCATTTCTGGTGCAGAAAAGCGGCATCCTGGGTCAGATGAGCCGACTTTAAAATGTTTAAATAAAGGAAAATACATGTTAGGTCACGTGTTCACCGGTTTATACAGAAACAAATCCTCAGTTATCTGCACATTTAGGTGGTTCAAATGTGCAAATATCCAATTTTGAGAGTGAAAAAAAAAGTATTTAGAGATGCTGATGCTTAGGAGACCACATTGGAGCATTAAATCAAGGTTGAAAATAATCAAATTAGTTAATTTATAATTCATAAATCTGTGTTGTGTTTGAGGTTTGAGGGATGGATATCACTGATCTCCCTCCAGTGGCTGTTTTAGGTTTAATTTCTTGGCCTAGTTAAGTAATATGATGAGTACACACACACACATATACACACACACACACACACATATACACACACACACACACACACACACACACACACACACACACACACACACACACACA